GGTCTTGGTCAACGAGATATTAGCTTTATTTCGAGCACCAAAGGCGAGATTAGTTCAGGATTTGGGTTAGCACAGCAAACAAAAATAAACTTGAGCATACAAAAAATCCAGTGGTGATTATGGGTATTTTGGTTTTTATTAGAACGTAAATTTTACCAATGCGAATTTCGTTAGTTACAATTAGAAGAGAAAAAAAACTTGCAGTGAATTAATTCTAACGTCACTTTCATCTACGCGGAAAAATATTGATAGCGGAAGTATTACCAGTTAACGTGCTCGTTGTGTAATCGTATTTCTGTCGCATAAAGGAGAGTCGCAGACGCTGTCAAGGACAAACGAATTAAGCGCGCCAGTAAGACTTCTCCTGTTTGAGACAATAAAAAAACCCGACATGCAGAATGAAGTCCGCCATCTTCCCGGCAGCGTCATCTATTTTACATACGTGAAGCGTGACAAAATAGCGCCTTATTCAGGTTGGAAAAACAATATTCATACAAAAGTCAGTCCATCTATGCATGTAAAAAAAGATTAATAAACAATTAACAAATCCAATATACACGAATAAGTTACCGCAAACTCCCTGATAGAGGGAGACTAAAGGAACAATCAGGAATAGGAGAAAACACAGTGAAGGAGTGGAAAATCATGAAGGAGAGTATTAAAAAGCTACAACGTGGAAACAGGTACAAGAACGGAAATGGAGGAAAAGGAATGGTGGGCCAGAGAGCGTACAGAAAAGACAAATAGATACAGAACAATGATGGAGAGATAAAGGAGGGACAACGAAAAAAAAAGATGACAAATAGAAGATTGGAAGCAGCACTTTATGAAGATACTATAAAGAAATCAAGAGAAAGAGGGTGGTGTGATAGAGGAATATGGAAGAGAGGAGGAGACGAGATATCAAGAGATTAAGCAGCAATTAAAGAGACTGAAGCAAGGGAAAGCGGCAGGGATGGACAAATAACGAAACGAGGCATGGATTTTGGCTACAGATGGTATCAGTTTATCAAGGAGAAGCTGATGGAACTAATAAACAATATATGAAAAGGGGAGGACTAACGGAAGGACTAATGGAATGAAGGGGTAATAATGCCGATTTGCAAAAAGAGAAAGGTACCTATTGTGTTGTATTTACAATTAATTAATAATAAATGTATAACAGTCTTGAAATAAATTGATTTATAACAGTTAAAATATTATTTATCACGCGCATATACACAATTTATTACAGCGCGAACTATTTATTACTTCGGCTTTGAAATTAGAACAGAATTAAAAACGAAAGGCTAGAAAGAGGAATAGAGGAGAAAAGGATGTTAGGGAAAACAAATGGGATTGAGAAAACGGAGAGGAACGATGGATTCTACATATGGGCTACACAGACTGATTGAAATAGATTTGGAAAAAAAGTGATAGCGCTTTTCATCATGGATATATAGGCGACTTTTGACATGGTAGAAAGGGAAAAAGTATGGGAAACGATGGAGGATAGAAACTTAGAAATGAATCAAGGGGCTATTTGGTCTGAAGTGTTGTGGGCAGTAAAATGACTGAGACAGGTATGTCCACCTATCCCAACCTTATTTAATTTAATCGTAGTGGGAAGAAGGAAGATATGGTTCCTGGCATACGCTGGTGACAGTAATATTGGCAAAACAGATGAAGAAAATGATCAAAAGATTGGTACTGGGAAAGGAAAGGAATGGAATTAAACGTCGAAAAATCGAAGATGATGATATTTGGGAAGAGGGGAGGAATGAAGCGGGAGGTAGAATGGAAGTGGAGGAAGAAAAGGGTGGAGAAAGTAAAAGAAATTAAATATTTATGATACCCGATGCATGAATTAAATAATGGGAAAAACGCACAAATAAGGGAATTAAGGAAAAAGGAGGAAGTGGCGTGTGGGCGGTAAAATGAGATTCGAGGAAAGGTGAGAAGAAGAAAAGTAATTTGGTTGGAACAAAGAAAGATATTATAAGAGAGCGGATACGGATGGGCAGACATTGAAAGGAGAGGAAAAATAAGGGAAAGGATGGGAAAAGAATTTACAAACAGAGAGAAACAAATACCAAGTTCAGCAAGAGAGAGAAATCCAGAACTCAATACGAAGTAAAAGCTACAAGGAGATGATAACGGAAGGGGTGTCAAAAGATCTCAGGGGGGGAAAGAAAAAATATATACATACCAACTTGTGACGTTGCTAAATGTCTATAATGACTACTGTCATCATTGACAGATTGACATTAATCAAAAGTTCCGTAAAATACGATTTTGGGTAAAATTTAATACAAAACTCGTCAATAAAATGATACTACTCAACTCGTAAATTAAAGGGGCCTCGTACTTCGGTATTCCCTCGCCAGCCATGTGTCATTTTCCTGACTTTTATATTTAGCTATTACTTTATTAGCATGACAAAGAAGTTCAATGGAAAGTTATTTCATTAAAACTAATTTGCCTTTCGTTGTTAGTTATATTTTCATATAAAATGATAAAGTGGAAGTATAATAAAGGAGCAAGTTTACATCTTCCTGCCATTTAACATAAAAAGAATATAACGCAGCAGGAAATGATTATTGTCAACACTGAGAGACGCGCTCCCGTTGAATTATTACACAGATCCGTCTCGCAAATATTGCAATAATCTAAATTGGTCAATTGCTTGCATATTTCAACGTTTCTACAACCTCGCTTTATTAAGTTATCTAAAACTGACGTTGATTTCACTAACCAACCGCGTTAACGAAGTACCTGACGCCGATTCCAAATGGGCGCATGCCTCGTCCGATTTGGGGCAAGTGATCCTTGCAATCCGCTTGTTGCATTGGTCGAATTTCTGCCCGCAAAATTTGCCAAGTTTCGACTCGCATTTGTAACACATGATTAGCCTTGATGCTAATTTCGGGAAGTTTACCAATAGAGCTAGCCCGAAAACAAAATGGATTTTCATCTTTTAATTTTGACATATTGAAATTTCTTACAGTGAATGACAGCCTCCTACTAAGTTTATTTCAACTCGAAGCCAAAATTTTCAGTGAGGAACCATGGGAACCTTAGTTAAGGTTGGTAATGATACGAAATTTCCCTAATGTAAGACCAAAGACAATGAATATGTACTAAGAATCATGCAAAAAATTATACAGGGTGCCATTTCGAATATTTTGAGTGGAAACATAAGTCACGTGATGGGTCATTCGAAAGCTTCCCCTTCACTCCTCCTTTCCTCACTCTTAACGTATCCTGACAGATGTCTACCCCCCTACCCTTCCACATGGTTTCCAGCTCTTGCGCTTTTCCTTTGGCCAACTTTGACGAATTCCTTATCTTCTTTGTGTCTGCTTTACTCCCTATCTTCAGGCGTTCATCTACTACTTTACTTCCTTTTTATAGTTTGTACGTCTCCTGTATACTTTCTTCGCGCATATATTACACCTTCTTCGTTTTCTATTCTGTTTACGTATGAATTTCTATGAATTTTTTACATGTTGCCCCCCTCCCCTTCTTGCCCGTAAAATTTCAGATATGTTGATGAAAATAATTTGTCATGGCACCAAATTGCATTTTCCTTTTACAAATTTTCTTTCTGTTTATAACAATTTTCCTTGGTTCCTTGGTCTGTCGATCTGTCGATCCGTTGGTCTGTCGGTGGAGTGGAAACCCACTTCCTGTGAATCAAAGCAATGCGTCAATTTGTTATGCAGTTTCGCTGATGAAATTGGTAATAAATAAATATTTTGCTCTACCAACATAACCAAAACTCCCTGGTAAGTTTGACGGCTCGTTTAAAGTGAATCTGGAAAGATGTATTACAATCCGGGATCCGAGTTTTTCGAACTTTAATGGCAGAACTTTGGTTTATTCACTGGATTAATTGACCAATATTCCGCAATAGAAAATGTCATAAAATTATCTTAGGGTTTTAACAATCAACAAAAGCACGAATGAATTGTCTTCAATCTTTTTACCGGTTGCCACTTTATTCAAAATTTATTAGCACGTCGCACAAACAAAATAGATGCACAAATTTGATTGATAAACTGGTCTTTTAGTAGTCCAACCGCTCCAATTATATCCGCAATGAGCGTTGTGCACCTTGGGCTCCAACGCTTTCATGGTAAAAATTTATATGAGCAGCCTTGGCTGAAATCCCGCCCAATCAAAAATAAAGACAAAAATAAAATAAAATAACAAAAAATAGATTCGCGCCGATAGTTTGGCTTACAATATACCCTATAAGTACTTATATACCCGCCGAATTCCACACGCCAAACGGGCTAACAAACACCGATTTTATTAATGTTTTTTATGCATGTGGCAGCAGAAAACGATTAGTTGCTATGTCTATAGTATGTGGATCTACTGTTTTACCCATTTTTTTGTTGTATATTTAAGAGCATGAGATTTTGTTACTTGGGTAGGATCCTAAGCAAAAGATCGCAAGATTGAAGAGGTTCGAAATTTGGTATCTGAGGGTTTTTTAAGTCATTTTCTTATTATGTCAATTTTGCAAGGCGTAATAATTTTCGATTTTACGATTCGTTTATTACCTGGTAAAAATTTTAGATTAATTTTTTTCAAAAACTACTCTAATTTTCATGTTCAAAGATTGTCAGACGCCAAATTTCATTTAAATCTTGTAACGGGTGTTCGCGTAACTTTCCGAATTTATATTTTGTGAAGCCTAGGAAGATTCATACATGTACCGCATTATAGCGAACAGAAACAAAATTACGTCTGGAAATAAAAGGATAACAAGGTCTTTTACCGACTTATCTAAATTTTTTTTCAAGGGAAAATCCACACAATGTTCTTTAAACTGGCTTATTTCTGAGCGAAAGCCGTGTCGAGCATTGTAGGTGATGCTATCTTTTGGGCGGGCAAATTGTAGAAGTAAAAAAAATTCTTCCAGAATCCCCATTCCACTACGCCCTTCCTCTATTTTGACCTGCAATGAGCTGCATTAAGGAAATCAAAATACACACGCCCAACTTGTCAAACGAATGTCATTCCATACTACACTGGTAAGCTTTAGCACCCACGGAACTTAAATGAATTGTTTATTTAACAAGAAGTTAATCTTGGGATTTCTGATTTTCTATGTACAGATAGTAAATGGTACGTAGCGTAACTTGCGCCGAGATACATTTGCTTTCAACAATTTTCAGTGAGTAACATCGCATGCTACAGGTGCCGTTCTTTGACATATGCGTTTTGTGGTGACGAATTCGATCCCGAGCGTACCGCCATATCCGTGTGCAATTTGGGAGAAGTATGTGCCAAATTATACTCTAAGCAAGGTAAATTTAAAAGAAGATACTTAGGTGAAGTTTGAGTACTACCGATATCGAAATATCCATATTTTTTGCCATATTATGTTTCGGATTTTTCGAATAGGACTCCAACTTCATGAATATTCTCGATTATACTTCGTATGCTCATTTTTTAAACTCGGTAGTTTGCCGAACCCTATAGATTATAGAAAGTATTTTTTTGATGACCCAAATCGTTTGTTTATCATAAATTTATGTTTATTTTGCTATTTTTAACGTCGGTAGGCCGCCCAGCTTCGATAAGGATTCGTAGAACACCAAGAAGGATTACCCAACTTGTTTTTCAAAGAATTCAAAGGTGTTTCAGAGTAGAGGTTGTTCTAGGTATCTTCAAACCTTTACCAGATCTCTTTGGTCCCTTTTGCAAATCATGATATCGCCTAACTGAAGACTTTCGTAGCTATCTCTGCTCATTGTGTTTCATAAATAGTAAAATTACATGCAATACACGAGGATTCAAATTTGCCTAGAGGTTGATATCTTTAAGAAAACACAGATTCAGATTTTCCTTAATAATTTTTTAAACTTCACTGATAGTCACTAAAATAAAGTCAACAAACCAGATGCCTATCCCCTCCCTTACGTTAGCGGCACACTCGACAAGATAAGGGATGCAAGATACTTTAACGACACTCAATATCAAGTCCGAATATGGCAGATACCATCGAAATCATATACTGCGTTCACAGTACTTACCAGAGGTTTTTTCCAGTTCCGTGGACTTCACGATGTTGTGCAAAGGTTAATAGTTCGTGTTATTGGAACTGATCTGAAACCAAATGTATTCAGCTACTTAGATGACATAATTTGTACTCAATACCTTCGAACCGATGTTCAAGTTTTAAAGGAAGTCATTCACCGCATTACCCTGTACCCCTTAAACAGAATGTCCTTCAGTAGATAAGGCCGTTAATACAAAAATAAGCTCGGAACATCTTCCTTGCCACAATAACTTTTCGTCTGCAAACTTCTTCGATATTATGAATGAAATTTTCTCTGGACGTAGTTTTTTTGAACGGTTAATTCATGTGTTTATAGAATGCAAACGAACTAGTTTTACAAATTACCAATTTTCCACCATAATTTTTTATTAATGAAGGAGATCATTCTAATGACAAAGTTCGATCTCCTTTTGATTTTACTAACGTTGACATACGTGACTTTGAACAATGGTTCTTTGTTGCATGAACGTATATCTGCGCGCTCGAATAATTTGTCCTTTACCGAACACGCCTCTTATTTATGCGAAGACGTGGATATTTCGCGATTAAGTGGTCTATCTCCATAATATATATCGTGGTGTCGCATCTATAAAGCTGTCACTTCTATTTTATTGCTTTTTGGGAGGGGGGGGCGGTAGTTTCTTTTTCTGGAGACGCACCTTAACACAACACACTGTTTGCTCTAGTAAACACGACCCGAATCAACTAAATTGCGGCCTACACGTTTGATGCTTCCGCGGCCCACTAACGAATGCCTCCACAACTACTCCAGACTAACTCCTACCTATTTCTTTAAAGTACCACCTACAAAATAGCTTCTTATTAACGACAAACGGCCATCTTTAATCGTTGATTCGTTTGCTTCGTTCCTGCTCTACGCTGCGGTTTGGAGTACATAAAACCAATTAAGATTGTTACCCCTAAATCTTGTTTGTTTCCTAAAGCTATTATGACAACAATAGAATACCACACAAAGATGTAAAAGTACAAGACGCAAAATCGCTGCTATGTTCCCTAAATAATCGTGTATGAAGATCTAAATAAACGTTGAAAACAGGAAAACAAACGTAAACTAAGTAACTGTAAAGAAACGATTTGAACCATCCGGTCAGGAAGCTTAAAAAAACCTTATTTTTGAAGAACACGTAAGAGAACACAAATTAAGGGTGGAAGAGTTTTTACTTTGAGGTAATCCACTGAAAAGATTCCAATTTCTGTGATGTTGGGGTGAAATTAGCAGTAAAAATTTACAAAAAAGTTGTGTTCGATCTTGGGTGCTCCCTTTCCTGCAAATTAAACCTATTAACACTTTTCTCCTAGACACGTATGTGATGAGAGGTTGTTTCACGAGAGGAACGTGCATATCTCACCCGATGTTGGACGAATGCGACGTATGCGACGGAAACTTATGCAATGGCGAAAGACCCACGTTTAGATCTCCATTCTTAACCAATGTTATTAACTTATTAATTTCGTATGTAATTACTAACCATCTGTATTAAGCAAAAATAAACCGTCGTCCCTTCTATTTCTCAATCGGTCACAAAGAAACGTCTAACGCAAAAGAATTGAAAATATAAGCGGAATTTATCTATCGTGCCGGAAAGTTTCTTAACTTTTCATGTATTTTTCTAGCCCTTGGTGTTTACTTGCTTCCTTTAGTCCATATAAACGCCGCTGTTGATCCCCCTTGATCTCTGGTATAAGGACAGCATAACTTGGCAATATAAAAGATGATGGATTTCGTTCGGTGTATTTTTAAGAAACAAAAGTGGAGAAAAATGTGTCACCAGAAAATGAATTTTCGGCTATCCATCACCGAAAATAGCATTTCCCGTCTGCATTTTATAAGCATAAATTAATCTTCATCCGTTTAATCAAGATACTTACAGCAGCATTCAGATGCAAAATAAACGGGCCACCAGAAATATTCTGTCTCTATATACCATGAGGTTTTCCCATTTATCATTCCTGTCTTTACATACGATAGCGTTTTTGTCGGATTTATTTGCTTCCCAGTTCCGTATGTACACATACGCTTATATTACGTTTTCTTTGTAGAGTTTCTACCACGCAACCAACCCTAATGCCTTTGTTAAGGCAATCTAAAGGTGCTATTGAGCTGTTTATAGTGTTTGCTGCACTATCGGAAGGTAAATGAAGTGGAATCGGGAAATATGTTTAAGTGAACTCTACTAACTGCTTAAATTAGAACTGAGACCCTCGTTACGCCAAATTGTATTCATACGTACAGCGCGGATTTATCACTTCGGCGTCGATGTTAATACTGAGGTTAAACACAATTCTATTTGCCTATCACATACTTTATCGACTTGATGGTACCTCCAGAATGTTCTAGAAGGTTCGCTACTGTATAATACAGAGTTTAAATGATCGTCGAAGCGTAAAGACGTATTTTGGGAGTGCGCACAAAGTGTGTGATAATTGGGAATTCCAGCCTGTTTGCGGCCTCAGTGAGTTATTCAAGTCTTTATAAATTGCATAGTTACCATATCCTGATATTAATCTGCATCATCATCTTGTAACTAACTGCTTCACCATGGTACTCACGCAATCACAAACGCAAGATGTACAAGGGTTGCTAGAAAACTTTGTTACAAGTAATGATGTTATTTCACAAATCGCAGCTAGTGTAGCAAAAATAGTTGAAGTCAACTTACAAAAAACTTTTGCCAATCAAAACCAAATCATCGCGCAAATGCAAGGCGAGATAAGTCAACTTAAAGTGGAAAATTGTGCTTTAAGCAGCGAAAACAAAGCTCTGAAAGCCGAGTTAGATGTACTTCAACAATATAGCAGAAGGAATAATGTGCGTATTCTTGGTATCAAGGAGACCGTAAATGAAAATCTAGACGAAATTGTCATAAACTTATTCAAAAGCAAACTTAATGTAAACCTTGAAATCGATCACATTGATCGCATGCATCGTGTGGGAAAACCTACTTCCGGGTCAAGCCGTCAAATAATTGTCAAGTTTACGAGTTACCGATATCGTAAGTTGGTGTTTGATAACAAGAAACTTCTAAAAGGCACGGGGATTCGCATTGCTGAAGATTTAACAAAAACCCGGTTAATGCTTCTTAAGGAAGCGATATCTAGATACCCTAGAGAAAATGTGTGGAGCTTTGACGGAAACATATGGGTAAACACTGGAGGCAAGAAAATTTTAATTAGAAGTGTGGCAGAGTTTCCTAAATCGGTGAAATAGTTATGTGAAGTGCCGCATTCCCAAATAACGCTACAATTCGGATTCATTGTTATTCGTTACGAATTTGAACTTTGGTTTTTCCTTCTAAAAACTTATTCCATACCTAACACAACTTTTATTTTTACTGTAAAACTTTTTCATTTGAAGCTATACTTATACTCTAATCACCTAAGTCAAAAAAACTGTGAGACCTACTACTTGCTATACTTGATTGAAATCTTGTTTGTAAATAGGGAAATTCTTTTAAATTGTTGGAAATTATCACTTTTAGTGAATGTTTTGCAGATAAACGTTCTGATTGTATACCATAACCAACAACAATTTGTGTTTAGATGGCTGTTTTCCGTATGTTGCTGTATTTATTAAGGTCATTGTACAATAAATAATAAATGTCAAAAATACATAATTTTAAGTTAGCACATGTAAATATATGTTCATTGGTTAGCAATTTCTTAGATTTTCAAAATCATGTATTACTGGAGGATTATGATGTTGTTGGTATAACCGAGTCATGGTTAAAACCAGAAGTTAATGATCGGCTTGTGCACATAACTGGCTACTCGTTTGTGCGTTGTGATCGCCTAGCAGGAAGAGGTGGAGGTGTTGGGTTTTACATCAAGAATAGCTTGAAATACGACGTACTCCAAACAAATGATAAAATTGAACAACTTTGGATAGCCGTTAAAATTCATAATAAAGTGTTCATATTTGGTGTGATTTATAGATCTCCTAATTCCTCATTTACTACCTTTTTGGATGAATTTGAATATATTCTAAGTCTTATGTTAACTGAGTATGAGTCGGTGTTTTGTTTAGGAGACTTTAATATCGACTTAAGCCAAAGTAGCACTGCTTCATATGAATTCAATTCTATTCTTGAAGGTCTAAACATATGTCAACTTATAAATGAGCCTACCCGCATTACCCAAAATTCTGCAACGATATTAGATTTAATTCTCACCAACTGCAGGGAAATAGTCGCGCAATCTGGGGTAATAAATCTGGACAAAGTAACTGACCACTTACTGACTTATTGTGTTCTTACCATAACTTTCAACAAGTCTTCTAAAATTATTACACACCGGAGTTTTAACGAATTTAACTATTTACAATTTACATATCATCTACAATCTATTCCTTGGCGAAACATTTATGACATATCCACAATTGAAGGGAAGGTAACTTTTTTTGAAGAAAATATAACTACTTTACTCGACATACATGCGCCATTCAAATCATCTCGTATTATAAAATCATTCTCTCCGTGGTTAACTGATACTATTAAACAAATGATGCATTTACGTGACTCGGCTTTGTCTAAATTTAAAAGAACTAGGTTAGATCGGAATTGGGAATTTTACAAACAGCTACGTAATGAGACCAACAGTGCGATTCGACGTGAAAAGAAGGCGTACTTTGATCACCCATACAACACAACTAATTTTAAAATTCTGTGGCAGGATATACTAAAACTAACACATTCAAAACGTGAACAAACGGAAATACCGGAAGATCTGTCAAACCCTAACGACTTTAATGAACATTTTTTAAATGCTGTACCTAATCGCAAATTTAACAATCAGTTACAACTACAGTTTTACCTAAATAATACAAAACACCCAGCAAGTTCTGTTCTTATTTTCCAACCAACTACTGAAGACGAAGTGCTTAAGGTTATTAACGCTATGAAATCTACAGCCACTGGAGTAGATGGTATTAATTTAAGAATTATCAAACTTTGTGTACCGTATCTACTTAAGTTTATAGTACACATGATCAACTTTTGCTTAAGAAATTCGCTATTTCCGGCACAATGGAAACTTGCTTATATTATCACTGTAGCTAAGAAATTATCTCCATCTAATCTAAATGATTTTCGTCCAATCAGTATTCTACCAACTTTATCGAAAATCTTAGAAAAAGTAATTGAAAAACAAATTAGAACTCATTTGTCCTTAAATAAATTAATCCCGGATGTCCAATCTGGATTCAGATCTATGCACAGTTGTTGCACTGCTCTTTTGAAAATTGTAGATGATATAATTTCCGCACTGGACCAGGGGAAAGCAACTATTCTTGTTTTGCTAGATCTCTCTAAAGCATTTGATACGTTAGATCACGCCATGCTTCTAGCTATTTTACATTACGTACGTTTCAGTCCGGGAGCCATAGCCTTGATTGACAGTTATCTTTCCAACAGGAAACAAGCAGTTAAAATCTCAGGTAAAATATCGACTTTTAAAAATGTCACCCGGGGAGTACCACAAGGGTCCATTCTTGGACCATTATTGTTTCTTATTTACACATGCACCATAGTAAATTGTCTTCAATATACCACATTACATTCTTATGCTGATGATACGCAGATCTACTATTCATTTCCAGCTGCAGATGTAGGTAACGCTTGTAAACGCATAAACGCAGACCTAGATGCTTTGCAAAACACATTTCAATCTCACTCTCTACATTTAAATTCAAGCAAATCTATTGCAATATTGTTCAGCGGCGCAAATCAGCGGGAAATGCTAATGTCTCAAATCAATATTAATATTAGGAATGAAGCGATTACTTTTAAAGATGTTGTAACTAATTTAGGTCTTAATCTTGATAATAAATTGCGTTTTAAAAACCATATTTCTATTTGTCTCCAAAAAGCCTACGGCAATCTTAAAAAGATTTACTCTATTAGACACTCTTTAAATACAAACATAAAAACTCTTCTTTGTGAATCTCTAGTCCTTTCTAAGTTGAATTACTGTGATATACTTTATAATACTTGTCTAGATACTAATGATGAACGGCGCATTCAAAAGTTGCAGAATGGTTGTATGCGATTAATTTTCGGCATAAGGAAATATGATAGAATCACGTATAAATTGAAATATTTAAATTGGCTCAATATGAAAAATAGGCGACTGCATCATAGTCTTGTGCTTTACCATTCTATCATCCTAAATAAGACACCGGCGTACCTCCATGATAAAATAACCTATAGAACCGACGTACATAATTTAAATTTGAGATTTAGGGGTTTAGTAAGTCCGCCACTCCATCAAACAGCTTTATTTCAAAGATGCTTTAGTTACAACATCTACAAGAGTTATAACCCACTCCCTCTAAATCTCAAATCACTTTCTTTAAAACAGTTTAAGAGGAACTGCAAGATGTTCATACAACAAAAGCAAGCACAGTAGCCAGGTGATGTTGCAATTGTTATCTGTAGTTGCAATTGTTATCTGTAGTTCAAATGTGTGTTTTCTTTTTTTTTTCTCTTCGTCT